TGCAGTTAGCAGTGTTAGCATTATTGACAGAGTTAGCAGCATTAGCAGATTTAGTGCAGTTAGCAGTGTTAGCATTATTGACAGAGTTAGCAGCATTAGCAGATTTAGCGCAGTTAGCAGTGTTAGCAGCATTAGCAGAGTTAGCACAGTTAGCAGTGTTAGCAGGATTAGCAGAGTTAGCACAGGTAGCAGTGTTAGCAGCATTAGCAGATTTAGCGCAGTTAGCAGTGTTAGCAACATTGACAGAGTTAGCAGCATTAGCAGAGTTTACGCAGTTAGCAGTGTTAGCAGCATTAGCAGAATTAGCACAGTTAGCAGTGTTAGCAGCATTAGCAGAGTTAGCACAGTTAGCAGTGTTAGCAGCATTAGCAGAGTTAGCAGAGTTACATTCTATATTTAGCATTTAACATTTAATAAAATTACCTAAATATATGAACAGTGATTTGTATAAAAATAAAATGTTAGCATGATTTTGTATCTAGGATTTTACACTCAAAATGAGCTAAATAAAAAGGTGTCAGTGACATTTTTAATACTGTATTTTACATTTTGTCTCATGTATGAGCAAAATTAATTTACCGTCATGTCTTCAGTAATAAAATAWATATTGTGTTAAAATAAAGAAACATAATGTACTTGAAAATAATAGTTATGTGGTAAAAGTATGAAAACCTTCACCTGAACAGATTATTAAAACACAAACACCTGACCTGGTTTTGCTTCATCCTTCTTGCTCTCATCGGCTGTCTTCGGCTCATCTTTCTCCTCCTCCCCTCCTGACTTCGGCTCTTCTACCTTTTCATCCTTATTTTCAGGCGGCGGCTCCTCCTGGGATTAAACCGAACAGAAATGGTTTGAAATATTCCTGCTCGCTCAGTTCATTTGTAGTTGTGGCCAAAAACAGAGACCAGATCAACAGATTAATAATTTAATRCCTCCTGTGTTCCAGATTAGCAGAGATGGTTCCAGCAGAACTGATAATAAAAGGGTCTTACCTTGGCTGGTGGATCAGCTGCCCGGGCAGGTGGGGGTTCAGGGACCCCCATCAGCCTCTTTAACCTGCTGAACATGTTGGGAACTCTGTGGGTCTGAAACTGAAAAATAAAGCTCACCTCTGACTTCTGGCCTGACACCAGATCAGACTGAGGAGTTTAAATTTCTAAGAATCGGTAATTCCCTTTGGGCACTCCCCCTTCCCTCCTGGACCAACACCAGATGAGCCACCACATCCACCAATCCCTGCCGGGCCTCCGGGCAGGAAAACACAAAAACCAGACTGTGATGAAACGTTTGATCGGTTCAAGAGTTTTTAACAGGCTGCAGGTTAAAAATGACAAAAATCTAAATTTACTTCTTTACAAGAGACGTAAAGAAACAAGCTGATAAATCTTTATTAAAGACTGATGAGGTGATTCTTCCTTCTGTAAAGGATCTGAGCTTTATGTTTAAAACAAAGATTTTTTTTATTTAATGGAAGCTGCTGTAAATGTCTCTTCTCAGGTTTTCCCGTCTCTCCCATGGTTGTACAGTTCACAGATTAATCATCTTAACGGGATTAAACAGCTGAAACACAACTGAAAGCTCACAGACAAACAACGATTTAAATAAATAAATATGTTTATTTTGGGTAAATTTAGAAGAAATTCATCCATATTTTAAAAATAACAGCAAAGCTGCTGCAACTAGAAACAAAAAACACAAACAACAAAAATAAGAATTAATCTGGTCCAAACTCGGCAGAATCCACCAGAACCAGCTCAG